TTAATGCATATATGAATGGAATCCTCATAAATATAGGAGTTGTCAATGCTCATAATGATAAGATGGAAAATGAGAAATAATTATACGAGATATAGAATTTTAAAACAGGTGAATGAAAAACAATCATACGATATATAGTATTTTAAAACAGAAGAATGAAAAATAATTTATTTAATTCAACATTCTAAAATAGATTTTTAATTTTTTTTTAAATATTTAAACTAAATAGTTAATGCGAAAAGAGTTCAGCATTAAATAGTGGCAGACAGGTGTATTAATATCCCATTTCTTTTTTAAAATTCGAAATTTGAAGTTGATATAGGTGAGAAAAGAATTTAACATCTTTTAGTGGGAGACAACTGTATTAAATTCCCACTATTTTCTACACGGGAATTGTTAACCCTCATTTTGAAAAACATTGAATGTTTTTTTCCATATTTATCGAAAAACCAAAAGACCCAAAGAAAAAAGTTCAGCAATAGTTAGTGGCAGACAGATGCATTAATATCCCACTCCTTTTTTAAATTTCGAAATTTGAAATTTATATTGGTGGAAAAAGAATTTAACATCTTTTAATGGGAGACAACTTAAATCTGATTTTAATTTTTATAAATACAAATTTGTAAAATTTCAAATACAAACGACGCAAATCCTTGCAAAAAATAATTATTTACATAAAATGCTGATGGTTAAAGGTTGCAAACTGGACTTGGCCCAGAGGGCCTGCCCGCCCTGTCTGCCAACACATTTTTATAATTAAATTAAAATTTCACTATTCTTTTTTTATAATTAAATTCCTAATTCATATTTCAATGAGGATGTAAATACAAATTTATAAAATTTCAAATATTAACGATACAAATCCTTACAAAAAATGACTATTTATTATTTTTTGGGAATAAGAGCCTTTTTTGTGAATAAATATAAAAACCTATTACATGCTAATAGTTATATGTGGCAAACTGGGTTCGGCTCGGAAGGCCGGCCTACCAAACATTTTTATAATTAAATTAAAATTTCATTCTTCTTCTTTTATAATTAAATTATTAAATCTGATTTTAATTTTTGTAAATACAAATTTGTAAAGTTTCAAATACAAACGACGCAAATCCTTGCAAAAAATAATTATTTACATAAAATGCTGAAGGTTAAAAGTTGCAAACTGGACTTGGCCCAGAGGGCCTGCCCGCCTTGCCTGCCAACATATTTTTATAATTAAATTAGAATTCCACTATTCTTCTTTTATAATTAAATTCCTAATTCATATTTCAATTTTTGTAAATATAAATTTATAAAATTCCAAATATTAACCACACAAATTCTTACAAAAAAATAATTGTTTATTATTTTTTGTGAATAAGAGCTTTTTTGTGAATAAATATAAAAACTTATTACATGCTATTAGTTATAGGTGGCAAACTGGGCTCGGCCCGGAGGGCCGGCCTACCAAACATTTTCATAATTAAATTAAAATTTCATCCTTCTTCTTTTATAATTAAATTCTTAAATATGATTTTAATTTTTGTAAATACAAATTTGTAAAATTTCAAATACAAACGGCGCAAATCCTTGCAAAAAAAATTATTTATTATTTTTTTTTTAAATCTGATTGTAATAAACGAAAGTCCATCTCTGAGATAAAATATAAAAACTTAGATGCAAATATTTAGAACTTTTACGTGTGGATAATATAAAAACTTATTACATGCTGGTATATATTGCTGACAATTAGAGGTTGCAAAGTGGAGTCGGTCTAGAGGACTGACCCGCCTATATTTTTTTGTAATTAAATTAAAATTTTGCTCTTCTTATTTTATATTAAACAGAATAAATCAAAAATTTGCCAACTCTATATGTACAAAAAGTTGGAGTTAGGTAGCTAACAATATTTATTTAAATAAAATGCAGAGATATATTTTTATGATTTACATTAACTTTTACGAGACAGACGAACAGATTTCTTTTTCCCGTGCATCGCACAAGTTATACTTAATTTTGAAGGAGTTTTTTTATGTAGGGTTCTGATTTGGAACATTATCTAGGAAAACTTAACATTCTTAATGAAAATTCCATGTTATTTAAGGTCAACGTAAAAAAAATAATTTGGAGTCATATAATGAGCCAAGATATTAAATTTCAAGTGTTTGAAGCAGCGAAGCTATTGTCACCTCAATCTTTAAGTCTTTGGTGGACCCAAATGTATGTTGTTGTTTTTTAAAAATTTATCATTGTGGGTTCTTTATATTGTTACAAGTTTTTAGCATGTGTATTGATTTGATGCTCTTTAGACACATTTGTTCCAAAGTAAGCAAAAAATATGACTCATACATGATTATTTGGTTAATTTGCTTTCAAATCCCTTTCAGACAACGTTTTTTGGGTTCTAAAAAAAAATAACTCATTTTTTCCTGAGATTATTACTTCTGGGTGTTAACATATTAGCGTAATTTATTTAATGAGTATTTGCACTTTGTATCGTAGGCATAAATATGATGGTAGAGGAGGATGTCCCTGGTAATGCATAAACATAGGAAATCACATGTTTGATATGTGTTGAACTCATTCCTTCAATGATTGCTACAGAATGACACTGAATTAATAGTGTTTTCTTATTATAGGTATAAGCTGATCTTTTAATTCCATATTTGCTTGGTCTGTTTGTTACCTTGATTTTATTAGTGCTGTTATAGTTAGCAATAAGTTGTATGCATTTTTCTTTTTTTACCCATCCTCATTTTAACATAGTCTACTGTGGCGTATTTATTTTTTACATAACTCATCGAGTAGATAACTATATTTGATTTGCATAATATTGATCACTCTCGATAGCAGATTTTTGTTTATGATTGATATTTGCAAAGTTCTGTGTCAATGATGTAATTTTTTCCACTTGAAATATAGAATAAGATAACAACACAGGTCTTTGTAAGTATAAGGTTTGCAGTGCGATTAACCAACCACGGCGGACGATAAATATTTTGTTCTTTTTTCCCCGGGCATCGCACGGGTAATTCACTAGTATATATATAAGGAAGAATCCATTTACAATTTACAAATTTTTTCAAATTTCTCCCGAAAGTATATAGTGTAACCGAGTATACTTCCGGGAGTACATAATATAGTTTGTAAGAGTTTGTAAACAAAAAGTTCGTAAATATAACCATTCCCTATACATATATGTGTGTGTGTAGGATTTTGATACCGGTGTAAAACTTTGAAATTTAACACTAAATCCTAACCTTTGATTTCCGCCAATCAACGATTATCATTTATTGAGAATCAAACTTATTAATTAATATTAATTTCCAATAAATAATAACTGTTGATTGACGAAAATTAAAATTTAGAATTTAGTGTCAAATTTCAAAATTTGACACTGGTGTCAAAGGATCCTGACAATATATATATATATATACGGTGCTACTTGGTTGGTATGGTGTTATAAAGCTCCTGTATAGGAATGGTTACTCTCATAGTGCGGATTGCAAGATGCTTATTATATGAATGGAAACTATGAATTCTGGATTACATGGAACAACATCATTTGTTGCTCATTACGATATTTGATAAATTCTTAACCCCTTATTATAAAATCAACAACTGAAAAATGCTTGCTTTAGATATCATTCTCATAAGGGTATTATAACAATTTCATACGAATTAAGCTCCATTATACTAACCGAGTGAAATTTTTGTGCTGATCATGTGCTATCCAAGTCTACAACTTTCCTCGGAAGATCTTTTGAAACTTACAAACAGGCAACCTTTTCGCTTAAGCTTTCTCCTTTTATATGCTGCAATGAATGAGTAGCCTTGTTTACCCTTAATATAGGACTCCAATCTATTCCATGCACATCATTGGAGCTCTCTTATTGATCCGGCAGTGCAAAAGTTTGATGCCACTAATTTCACGTGTTAGAGAAATATAATATAAAATTATTGAAAACACATCACTTAACAGTTTGAGCTTTTAGGTAAGATGATTGTTTATCAAAACCAAGGTGATTAATGAATTATTTATCATCACCCTTCACTTTCTGGTGGAATTAAGTCAGCACAAGGTAGACTGGGCATATGCAATATCTACACTTATGTGAGGTGGCAGTGAGTTAGAAAAATATAATATAAAATCATTGATGGCAAATCAATTAGCAGCTTGAACTCGTGAGATGTTGATTACCACCACGAATGGGGCATTACTTCAGTGTCCATGTTTTTGTACTGGGTTTGACATTAATTGAAGGTAAGTTGTCAAGTATTTTGTTGGCTATTCCTTAAATTTTATAGATTTTTAAACACTTATAATAAAACCAACTATTAATATGCAATTGAAAACTCACCTTGAATACCATACTCATAAAGGTACTATAGAAACTTCATAGGAATTAAGCTCCATCATTCTTACACTGAGAGAAACCTTTTGAGCTAATTATGCTAGCAAAGTCAACAACTTCTCTCAGCACACCTTTTGAAATTCACAAACAGGCAACCTAGTTTCCTAAGCTTTCAAACCTTTTACGTGGTGATGCAAGGCCGGTGGGTAGTTTTGGAGATAACGGTCAAGATATTAAATAAAAATATTTGTAAAAATATCTGTATATCTATATATATATATATATATATATATATATATATATGGAAGGAAGGTAGGAATACAATAAAAAACGTTAACGTTTGCACAAAGTTGAAGCCAATATGTCTCCTTATCAATGCTAAACTTCATGTCTGCTTGATATAGCAAAGGGACCCCAAACGATCTCTTCCTTCAATAATATCTTCCTTGAATTGTTATCTGTATAGGCAGCACAAAAAGATTTCATGAATCTATTACCCATTTCATTCCAATAACACAAGCCAAAGTTTAATAAATATACTCAAAACTTAATGGGGATATGAAGCTGTTGCTTCTTGTTTTCTTAATGCTACTATATACAATCTCTTAAAACATTTGAACTTGGAAAAGCTAGCTAGGATTGTTTATTAGTCATAGGGAATCAAATATGGTTAATTTATGCAATGTTAAAGCCACAGATGGTGTAAAGCCTGTTCTGTTAATGATAGTGGTCCAGTCTCTATATGCAGTGGTGAATATCTTGTTCAAGTTGGCAGCAGATGATGGAATGAGCTTAAGTGTTCTTATTGCTTACCGCTTCATCTTTGCTGCTGGCTTCATTGTTCCCTTTGCTCTCATCTTTGAAAGGTACATATCCCTCTTTTGAATAAGCTTCGCATTACAGAGCTAGGAAACAAGACCATATCTTTCCTATGTACATAACATAATTTCATGGAGTCAAACTAACACACACATTATACATAAAAAAATGTTAATTTAAATGAGAAATTTTGAATTTTGTACTCATTTCTTTCAATTATGAGAACTTATTATATCTGGATTTTTTATTGGCATGTTTCCATCAGGAAAAGCCTGCAACAACTTACTGGGAAAGTTCTATTCTATGCTCTTCTTTGTGGGTTATTTGGGTAAAATTTCTAATATCCTAATTAATTTTAAGAAACTTAATTAATTTATGCAAAAAGTGTGAGATAAGAATTTCAAAATTTTCAGGGGATGCTTACAAAACAACCTCTATGTTAAATCTTTGGCCTTGGTAACTGCAACATATACTACAACCATGTTGAATCTCATCCCTGCTGTTACCTACATCTTGGCTGTTTCTCTTAGGTAGGCCCCATAACCTTGTATGCTATCATTGAATCATAAATGTTAATATTGAATACCATTTGATCCAAAGGTGGTTTTTTTAGTTCCCTTCCCTGCTTTTTGCAGACTAGAGAAGCCAAATCTTGGAACAATAGATGGCAAGGCCAAGTTGCTGGGAACTATAACTGGAATTGGTGGAGCCATGATCCTCACTTTCTACAAAGGCAGAAGGATATCCTTCTGGTCAACACACATTGACTTGTTGCAACATGCGGCATCAAAACAGGAACCCCCAACTAGTACTCGCTTATGGGGCAGCATGCTAGCTTTGGGTGCTTCTATGAGTTACTCATTGTGGTTGATAATTCAGGTTATTCATAATAGTTTTCAATCTCATGGTCATAGACATAGTACTAGTACTACTACAAACCAAAGGTTCTATATACTTGTTTCTCTGCTACCTGGCATGAATATATTCCAAGTTTACAATTGTTTCAAGTCCACAAGTTTTTTTTTTGTAACTATTTAAGTGTAGCCAACTTTGAGAGTTAACTGAGTCTCTCTAATTTTTTTAACATCATGAATATGTATAAACACAGACAAAGATGAGTGAGAAATTTCGGTGGAACTATTCAATTGCTGCTTTGACATGCACAGCGAGCTCAATCCTATCTGTTATATTTGCTCTTTGCACGGAGAGAGATTGGAGCCAATGGAAACTTGGCTGGAACTTGAGGCTTCTAACAGCAGCTAGCTCGGTAAATGCTTGTTTTTGGTGATTTCTAAAGACTAAAACCATTGCCATGAGCTAAACATACAAAACCACACAATGTTCAAATGAAAAATAAAAGACATAATTAATTAGAGGGTCTATTTTATTTTATTTTATTTTTTACTTTTTTTGCAGGGTATCTTGGCCTCTGGGGTGAATTATACCCTATTAGCATGGTGTGTGCGCATTAAGGGACCTCTTTTTGCTTCTGCTTTTAGTCCTCTAATGCTTGTGCTAGTGGCCTTGGGTGGATCATTAGTATTAGATGAGACACTTCATGTTGGAAGGTGAATTGAACAACTAAAGCTTATTTACACTTTAAAGTTCCTTAGTTTCAAGTGTCCATGCCTTATTATTATGGATTGTGTACGTCTTGTGCAGTTTAACAGGAGCAGTGTTGATTGTGTGTGGATTGTATGCGTTGTTGTGGGGTAAAAGAAACGAAACAAGGAAGGCGGAGAGTGAGTTGGTGTCCTTAAAAATTAGCTCTACTCAATGTGAACCAATCCAAATTGCCAAATCTTTCTCATGCAACCCAAGGGAGCATGACAAGAAGATTGTAGCAAGTGTTGCTACCAATACATCTTCTAGTGTCAACAATTCTATAGGCGAAGTTCAACAATTGAAAACTTGAAGGTAACAATTCATATGATCAGTTTATGTTGAATAAATTAATTTGGTGTATAATTTAATTGTATTGTTTTAATGGGGTAGCCTGCCACAAATTCACTTTTAAATGGGAGTATATTTAAAATTATATATTTTGTATTGTTTATATTAAGCATATATTAATAAATACAATTTCTATGCAGGACATATACATATGAAGTTATAATCTCACTATTAGATTTTGGGATTTGAAGGAGGGCTGATAGAGATTAAATTTGCTATTTATACTCTCACTTTTTATATTAATGAATTATAATGGTATGGGTATCTCCTTACTTAATTATGTTATCTACAAATAATTAGGCGTTATTTATATTATATATATGTGTTAATATATACAATTTCTATATGCAGGACATATTCATATGTGAAGTAATGCTTTCACTTTCAGATTTTAGGATTTGAAGAGGGGATGACAGAAATTAAAATTGCAATTTTTTTACTTTTTATATTTTCAAAAATAATGGCATAGTCCTTACATGCTAATAATTAGGCATTATTTATAGTTAGGGGTGCTAAACGAACCAGGGGCCTTTAAGGAGTTTTTGGCTCGGCTCGTGAAGGCCCGAGCTTACATGTCTAAAATTGATTGTTGGCACCAGCCCTGAACTTGTATAAAAGCTCGTTTAATAAAAAGGCCTAAGGCTCCAATTCAAAAGTTTGGACTTAGAGCCTCTCAGGCTGTCCTAGTATATTATTTTATTTTTTATATTTTTTATACTACTTGTAATAGCCCTCTCTTTCTTCTCAATCCATTTTATCTCATTTTATTGGTTAAACAGACTTTTTGAATGATTTTGTTCTATATTATGTTGTTTGGATATACATTGAATTTATGAATATTTATGCAATTATTAGTGTTGTTGATTGTATATTCTGTTTGAATAAATTTTTGTTATCTTATTTTTATTAAACAGGCTAACAGTCTAAACCAGACTTTTATTTTTTGTAAATAAGGCAGGTCACGTGCCGATAATTATATTTATAACATGTAACAGGCTTGGTCAGACTGACACATTTAAACACAGGTTTAACCTTTTAAGACTAAAGCTCGGCTCGTTAACACCCTATTTATAGGACATACATATTAATATATACAATTTTCGTGCAATATATATCCATCTAAAGTGCTCATTGTTTCATTGTCTCGTATGGACTCTCTAATTGTTCTAGTTAATTAAAGCTTCATATGAATACCAAAAAAAATAAAAATAAAAATTAAAGCTTCATATGTGAGGATAAAAAGAGAAGCACATCGTTTCTGTATTATTCAAAATTTTAGATTTAATCGATGAATATATTACTATAGATATGCGTGTCAGAGGGAGAGAGCGATGCCACAATTACGATTTCATATTTCTAACGCATACTAACATATATTGCATTTACGAATAGTCTGTTATAACTTCCACATACTAAAATCAATTGATCTAAAACTCACAAGCATTATTCAAAACGTTCATTATTGAAAAACTAATTCAACTACATTGTTTCTATGCTTCATGATAACAAGCATAAAAAATCACCAAGAAAGAAGCCCGGCTACCAAATTGTTCCATATAAATGCAAGCATCACGGAGAAACCCAAACACAAGCCATCTCCATTCACAACCACCTTGAACCAGCCACTATTAACTACCCAGGGATACTATGACTGGGTTTTTTTTTTTTTTTTTCGGTAATGTGTAAATGTGTTTTAACAAAGTTATTAATGGAAGGAGTAAAATATAAATATCAACCCTAATATAAATTTTGTTAGTCGTAGCCGTTATATAAGGGAGGTCCCAGTAAAGTTTTGGGTCCTTAACAAAAAATTACGGTACTCACTTTCGTTCCTTACAACAAAAAAAAACTCATATTAGTCTTTTTTTTAGGACTAAATTAGGTCTTCATTGAATTTATGAGGGACTATATTTTTAAAAAATTGAAATTGTAGAAGGACTAAAAATTAACTTTTTTTTTTTTAAGGAACGAAAGTAGAGACCGTTTTTTGTTAGGAACTAAAAAAAGATTTTACTCAAAAAATAATGTGTCAGATGTAATAATCGTAACCCTCTGGTAAGATAAATGTAATTGTAACAAAATAAAATATTTTATAAATTTACGTAAAACCCAAAGTATACACATAAAACAAATTAATTCATATTAAACACAAAATAATTGATCTTGGTAGCTTTTTACTTTGCAAGGTGAATTTAGGGGTGGCAATTTAGGTTGATACGATACGAATATGAATACATTCAATACGAACATGATATGAATTTGAAATTGGATTAAAATTTTCTACATAAACATAATCCGCTCATTTTATGGGTTGATATAACACGATATAAATAACTCACGACCTCAAAGTATATCGTTTATTATGCGAGATATGACATGACACCGGGACAATTTTGCTTCCGGTGCTTATGCGAGGAAAATCTTAATCCAGATTGAGTTTTGACTAGAAAAAAGTTTATTTGTGACGAAAAATTATCACAAATGATAATTTTTTACACAAATAATCAAATTTCGTCACAAATAAAATTGCGACGCAGGAATTTATGACAAAATTTTATTTCTTTTAGTTTGAAGTTTTTTTTTTGTACTCATTTTCTGACATTTTCTCCCACTCCTTTATGGTTACTGACACCTGAATCTTATTTTTATTTTTTTCTATTTTTACTACATGAGTAAGTAGGTCACTAATAAGATTTTTTCTTTTAGTTTGAAGTTTTTTTTTTGTACTCATTTTCTGACATTTTCTCCCACTCCTTTATGTTTACTGACACCTGAATCCTTTTTTTTTTTTTTTCTATTTTTACTACATGAGTAAGTAGGTACTCCTGTGGCAACGAAGATATATTGGATAATTGATATTGTATATATGATAATGCATCCCATACAAATTGCAATTCGGATTTGAAGTCAAATTGAAAGACATACTACCGAATGAAAAATTTGTCTTATACTGCTGCATGTGTCATTAGGAGTGTTTGCAGTCTGAATTGGATCGGTTTTGGAAGCAAAAATCATCTGATCTAATTCCTTTAATTTGATTATGTAATCATCCATTCGGTTTGGATTTTTTTTCAAATCCGATCCAATCCAATTTTTTTCGGTTTGAATTGAAACGGTTTTTCGGTTTTTTGAAAATCTTAAAATTTGTTTCATGATTATTGTGCAAATAACATCTTTTGTATATATTAACTTTGTAAATTATTATTTTTTGAAATACAAAAGCATCAGTAAAAGATAATATAGTTTTTTTTATTTGGGCAATGAGATATGAAGCTCTACACAGATAAAATTTTGTTGATAAGATGTAATTAGGTTTTTTCTTGGATTTAGTTGATGAGTTAATGAGCCTTGAGTTAAGAAATTTTTGGGTTATGATTGGAGAAAGATCCAAGTAGGTAGAGGGAAATTAATATATTGGATCAGTTTGGATTGGATCGGTTTTCATCAACCCATCCGAAACTGATCCAATCCGGTTAAAATTTACGGGTTTTTTTTCGATTTTCAATTTTTCAATTTTCGGTTTATTCGGTTATCGATTTTTCAGTTCAGTCACCGCAATTTGAATCGGTTTGGATCGGTTGATGAACATGGCTGTGTGCCACCAATGCCATCATCATGATTACGCTGTTTTGAATTATCATTCACGATAGTGGGTAATCACCAAATTTTAAACCTTGACGCTCTTGTTCCTTCTGCGATTTCATCATCTGCAGTAGGTAGAACTCATTGACTTTACAAATTGTAAATACCTGTGTCTTTTGATTTATTGCTATTGTTATATGGATGATGTAAACAGAGATTAGAGATAGTGAAAAAAATTGGTTTGGATATCCGAGGATATTTTATTGGGGTTCTTATATAGTTAAGTTAGTATATGGTGGAAAAGATGAAGAATGTCAAAATAGTAAATGGTGGCTTTGAACTGAAACTTTCGTTTTGCATCATTAACAGCCATATGTTCACAGTGGTCAGATACAGTCCTCCATCATCTAATTAAGTTTAAATATATATTGATGATCTAATCGTGTTTATAAATTAGATAAATTGCGGTATAAAATACATCGTAAATACCTTTTGTTATTGCTTATATTGAATGCTCTAAATGGTGTCGTAATTGATGCAAAAATTCTTTAAGCCTTCCATAACTTTGTTCATATAGGTTTCTTTTTTTTTTCTTTTTTTTTGTAATACATATAGGTTTCTTTAGACAAACCAAGAACACCTCTTATTCTATCTCTATGTATCTTGATTCCAATAACGTAAGAGGCATCTCCCATATTCTTCATATAAAAAAATTTAAAAAAAAAATTATTTCACCTTATATAGCAAACCATTATTATTGGTTGGAAGTAAAATATCATTTTTTTAATATAATGGAAATAAATTACAAGACAGAGCAAAATCTGGTGCACGAAAAGCCCAGAAGGTCTATGTTAAAAAGAGAAAGGCATTCCTCATGAGGATCCAAAAACACCTGTAATTCTCAATTAGGAGAGGCATTGCCCAATCTAGCTAATCTATCAGCAACCATGTTGCCTTCCCTATAACAATGGCTAATTCTAGTTCTCCAACTCCTATCTAACAGTTCTCTGACTCGGTTGACCAAGGGGGCCAAAGGATGATGAGCCCCACACCCATTAGAAACCATGTAGATGGCCACTTGATAATCACTCTCAATCCAGGGCTGACGAACGCCCATATCCCAGGCTACTTCAAGACCATGCATGAGACCACATACTTCTGCTCTAGTGGAAGTGCTAGTGCCAAGGTTTCTACAGAAGCCTTTCATCCAGTTGCCAGATGCATCTTTTAAAGACCCCACCACAACTAGATCTCCTACCACCCTGAAGACAAGAACCGTCTACATTAACTTTCACCATGTAACACCTCGTGTATACCCGGAATATTAACATTACATCGTATTAAGCGGTGCTTAATTAAAAATGCGGAATATTCTTTTTC